CCTTATTAATTTAACTATCTAATTCTCATTTCTTCTTCTACTTCTTCTTTAGTTCCATTATTCACAGTAATACTTTCTGGTATTTTCCACACTGGATTTTTCCTGGAATTTCCCATATTGAATTTTTCCTGGGATTTTCCATTGTGGATATTTTCTGAAATTTTTCCATTGTGAATACTTTATGGAAGTTTCTATGGCGGATATTTTCCGTAACTTTTCATTGTGGATATTTTCTGGAATTGGAACTTTCCATTACGGTTATTTTCAGTAACTCATACAGTACCAATAAGAATGACACATCGTTGTTCTTTTTGCAGTAACTCATACAATACCGATAAGAATGATAAATCAATAAATGAACGGATAATTGGTGTTGATAATAGTGGAAGTAATAGGAGTAATTTAATGAATTGGATAGTACCATCAACTAGTGTCAATCAACGAATGCGACGTATTGAGGAAATTTTAGATTCAATACCATATTTCTTTGGTAGTATGCTTGATGATAATAAATTACAAAGACGATTACTTCTTGAATTAGGTAATTTTTCTTCTTTTTCATATTAATTTTCCTCTTTCTTTTTTTCTTTTTTGAATAATGGAAGGAAAATGGGATGTTCTTTCAAGTGATCTAATGAATGAGTCAGATGTTTTTTTTCTCCGCTCATGATCAAAAATCAACCATGTGCTGATAATGTTATCGGGCATTATGTTATCGTCATCCTGGCTAAGCTTTCCGGAATTTTCCATATTGGATTTTTATCTGGAATTTTCCAGAATGAGTATTTTCTGAAATTTTCCGTATGAAATATTTTCTGGCATACGTTATTTATAATTACAATTTTTTATGAAGGCTTTTTTAATTGAATTTTTTCTCTTTTTTTGTCAATTTTTGAACAAAACATTTCGTAGCTTTTTTAAATTGCAATTCAAAAAATGAAAATGAAAGAATGGATTGCATGATTTGTTTTACACTAGAATTAAAATACTTCCTTATATACAGGTAAAATAAATTATGAGAAGTGCTTTAAACAAATAATTCATAAAAACCTGAAAGGAAATTTTTGAAAAAAAGAAATTATAAAGAATCTGAAAATGCAACTGTAACTGATTTTTTTATTTACTGTTATAAGTTTGCCTCAATTCTTTTTTTTTAATTTATGCGCTTTGAGTAATTCCTTGTATTCTAAATGTGATTATTCCTCGATTTTATAAGTTTTAATTATATGTTCAAATTTAATATAATAGGTTTTATCAACATAACTAAAAAATGTGATTGAATTGCTTATAACAACTTCAAAAAAAAAGTCTTTCTCTCTATTTGGTGGGAAATGATTGATTTCATAATTTTGTTTCAAAATAGCAATCCTCGTACTGAAATAATGGCATAATAATTTCTTTTCGTTGTGATTCAATAAGTTTTAGAAAAATAAAGCAAGGTGAAATAAACATTGTTAATTGGAAAAATGAAATATTGTAATGTTACAACAGATTGTAATAGGTGAAAAAAATTGATAAAAATGAATTTGATTAGAAATGAATTACTTCGAATTTCAGTAAATTGATCTTTTCGGCACAAATTCTTTTTGTAAAGCCCGCCTTATTAAATTCTATCTTAGTAAATCCTATCTTTTTATAAATTCTATCTATCTATCCTTTTGGCGCAAGTTAAATTCTAAAATGATGAAATATCAATAAATACAAAAAAATTTTTGCATTATATGCAACAATCTCGTTTTCTTTTTATTTCTTCCTTGTTTACTGAACCATATTTTTAATCCTCTATTTTTATCAATTCTTTTGTCAAAATCTTTTTATCGTTTTGTCACCTATAAATATTTACTTTTGTCTTTTTAACTTTTTCCTTTTTCCCTATTATTTTCTACGAAAGAATTTTTAAAAATATTATCGATAAATAATAAATTTGTATAAATGCAGCAAAAAATACGACGTTATAAACCTTTTTGTTCAATATAAAATTATTTTGGATTAAAGAATGCTTTTTTCAAAAAAAGAAGAAAGTAGTTGAGGTAAAATCATAACATTGGATAAAAAATTATTGCAATTTAGTTTTCACACTTTTTTCTTTCTCGTCGGAAGTTTCCTTTCATCCTTTTCAATTTCTTCATGAATTGTTATTTAAAGGCATTTTTCGCACGTGAGGAAGTATTATAATCCAAATGTATAACAGTGATGTAATCTATTCATTCATCTTCCTTTTTGAATTGAAACTAAAAAAAAATATTAAGGAATGTTTCTGTTTATAATATAACTCAGTTCTTGTTAATTTTTGTGCTAATGCTACAAAGGAAAAACAGCAATAGGATGTTCGTTCGAAATGATTTCTTAATTATGCGGTCGTTTTGAACATTTATCAATCGCACAGATGTTTACAATATAATTATGAGAAAATTATTATGTTATGAGCTTGAATAGTAATTCAACTTTTTCTCTTCAATAAACAATCCCCTCAACCAATAGTTAATGCAAATCTTAGCTTTGAAATAATCAATTCTGAATTCGTCTCGTAGCAAATGTTAGCCCACAATGAAAACTAAGAAAATTCTTAAATGATAACCGCCCATTTATTTACTTCTTTCTTATCTTTTCCTTTGATTACTGATATCAGGGTGTTATTATCTCAGTGACACATATCTGCGCAATAGATATTGAATTAAAGAAATCTAAATGAACTAATTATGATGAAAGGACTAATGAATAAAATATTACAGCGTTAGTGTCAATTTGAAAGTATGATTCAATACTGATAAATTTAATTAAATGTTTTCGTCTAAAAAGTAATTGATTCGTAACAGCTAATAAACTTTCCTTAATTACGGCTTTCGTAGATGATAGCAAATAAAATGAAAAGACGGAATTGAATTTGAATATCAGCATTTCAAGCATATAAGCTTCTGGAGGTTTCCTGAACAAATTCTTTCATTATAGTTTAGGCGTTGGAAATTTTCATTAAGTTTGCATTTTTGCTTCAATCCTTGATGAATTTTGTCTTAATCTCTCCTCTGGCATAATGCTTTAGCAATCTTTCCTTTTTCAATCATTTACTCTCTAGGTCGCCCTATCACTAGCTGCTGATATGATTCATCCATCTACATCTTCAAATTTAAAAATTGTGTTTCCAAAAGCAAAATATTCAGTTGCTCTGAATTCACAGATTAGTGTAATCAAAGATCAGAAAAGGATGTAAGATGAAAACGATGAAAGCATCTGAAAAATATTTGCCATTTGCAAGTTGCACTGTCTATAAATCACTAATGCTACAGTTTGATAATCTGTTGAAAATTTCTCGAAAATAAAGATTATAGAAGTACATTTTTCTTTTTGCATTGCTTACTCCTTTTAGACATTCTCAGTGATTTCGAAAAGTTTGATGGTAGTCACAAAGCCAACCCCTGAGGAAAATACGCTTGCGTTGTTTTGCATTTCTGTAGTAAGTTCGATTCTTACTTCATTTGCGCTTTTACCGATACGAACATTAAACTGTTTTGAAGTTCGTCTGAACAGATTATTCAGTAATCAATTGGTCAGTTATGTTTAATGTCAGAGCTGAATAGCAAATTACCTGTAAAGAAATAACTTCCATATTTAAAAACAAAAAGTGTCAAAAGGATCATTGCCTAGCCAGTATGTTGTCTTACCATCGGGAAATCTAGACATTTCAAGAACCATTTTAAGGAGTTGTCAACCAATCAATTGTTCCACAAAACCCCTGTACCGTGACAAGATTGGATTTCACTTAATGACAAATTTGATACAGGTATCACTGTTCGGATTTATTAGCAATGGCTTATCACTTTATATCATAACAACAAATTCGCAATTTCGGAATGCTTATGGAGCTCTTTCTACCGTCGGCTTGCTGTATAATATACAGACATTATCAATTTTGCTGATATGGGAAGCAGTTGTTATAATGTAATATTTTCCCAATACGTTCAATTTGTGACAAATACATAGGATTTAGAGTTTGATTAATAGCTGTTGATCTTTACCGTATCTAATCAGTTCTAATTTCAGAGGTTCAAGGGAATTATCAACACCGACATCTTTCATCGCCTTAATACCCGGCTGCTTGGCAAGTGTATCTTCTTACGGTTTACTATTGGTGCATTTCTTGCTTGCAGTGAATAGATATTGTGCACTTGCACATCCTCTAAAATATCATCGTTTTTGGTCTGTAGCAAAAGCTCGCCGAGCAGGAATTATTGGATATTTCTTCGGGTTCCTGCCATGTTTTCCGAGCATTTTTGGTAAGGTTTTCGCAAGTTTGTTTCAACAAAAATGAATCCTTCAAAAAGAATCAAAGCATTGTTAGTGAAAGGAAACGATTTACCAATATTGATCAGTAAATTACAGAACCATGTATCCTCATTTTTAATACGGAATTGGGTTTCTATTGGAGCTATGGCACTACAAGTTGTGGTTACCTCAATTCGATCTTCGATTTAATATACACTTCTTCATTGTCGATTATAACAGGGTGCATCAACTTCATAACGCTTATTAAAATTAAAAATCAGAAAAAGGTTACGATTCACAGTTGTCTTATTAATTATTTGCTACGAAACCATCGAATTAACAATTGGGGTGAATTAATAATCTTGATGACGTGATTCTTGAGATTTCTTCATAAAATATGTTTTTCCGTGATGCTTGGGACCCAAAAGAAGTACCGTTCGAATTAAATGTATTTCTAAGGTCTGGCAATTTAAAATCTAATTTTATTCGAAGCTTTTAAGCAAATATGTTCCTCAAGATCTTAGAATAATAAACCTTAGAATAAACCTTAGAATAAACTTGATCCTCTATGATTGTATTTTATAGATGATTTTTAACTCATTTTTCAGCCGGGTAACACTGCACGTTCCATCAATCATAAACGTGAAGTATTATTTTTTAAACAGGTAAATTCACAAATATTGGGATTATTGGGCGATTAATTACATTAAATAACAAACTGTTGTTAAATTATAATGAGCCCAGCTGATAAATTTCAAAAGAATTCATTGTACAGCTCAATTTCCAGTCGTGCATTAGCGGGCTTATCATCATCATAATTAATATTTTCTTCGTTACTGGTCCGTACTATCTTAGCAATAAATGGGCTTTATTTGCTTCGACTACAATTGCATGGCAAGTGGCGCATGTTTTAGATGGGTAAGAGGATTTTTACCATTTATAAGTTTCTTATCATTTAGCAGAAACAACCTGTTCCCTTTCGTAGCTTTCATTACGATATGGCAATTTCTAGTTTTTCTGAGAAAGGTTGCATTTCAGAAATAACAGCTATCTGACAATTATTTGCATCTGAAGGAAACAAATTTTATAGAGAAATAATGTTTCTAATTTTAAAAGCTGAAATCATTCACTGATTTCAAATTCATATCATATGCTAATTGTTGGGAACTCCAACGTCCTTCAAAGACTCCTCGATTAAATTTTAGATCGGTACATTACATTTAAACTAAACGGGGATTTTATAAAAAAGTAATCTATATTCGCTTTTGCATCGATTTA